TAGGTGGGGGGACGGCCGGTGGGGCTGAGCCGGTGGGAAAGGCTAGGCGAGGACGGGTGAGCGACGGACCCCTCCTCGGGGTCCCAGCCAAAGGGCTGCTAAGTCCCCAATTCCGAGGGTTGGGAAGGAGGGTCAGACCCCTGCAGGGAGTTCTCCGGGTTAACCCTTCTGAATCAGAGGCAAAGGAACTTCACGGGAGCTCATCCCACCTTTGCTGTCCATGGTCCCAGGATCAAGTCCCCATCGAAAGAGAAACTCTATCCAAGGGAGAATTTACAAGTCTACACCCTCAACACATCAGCATTCCACTTTACTGGCCCCAGTCTCACTCCACTCCACCCTAATGCTCTTCAAGGCCTTCCAAAATGCTAGCAGGGTGGGGGCCTGCTGGACCTCAGGGGCAAGGGCACTCCACAGGGCAGAGGCTGCTACAGAGAAGGCACGCTTCCCAGGTCCCACTAGATCACATTTACAGGAAGGGACCTGGAGTGCATCCACTCTACCTGACTGGTGGGACAGGCAGATACCCTCAGGGAGAGGCCATCTGGGGCTTTCAAGGTGATGACCAGCACCTTGAAGTACAGGTTGAACTGAAGTTGCCAGGCTTGAGAGATGTGTTTCTTGCCTTTAGAGTTCCCAAGAAAGGCAAACATAAAGCAAGTAGAACTTTATCCACCCTTCTCACCTGCAAGCCAGGAGGTTGGAAAAGAAAAATGCATAGACAATGGGGTTTCTAGGTCTTCTGCATCATTTGTAACATCCAGGGAAGAATGTGAATGCCCAAAGTTCTACCAGACAAACTATAGAGTGATAGCTGTTCCTGGGAACAGAGCCATTGTGGACTCTCTCAGAGGGATGTAGAAATCAGACAAAATTTGATACAGGTTTTCAGTCTGAATTTGCAGTGCAATTCGATTCAGGCTTCTGGTTCAGAAAATTGATCTGATTCAGATGTCCAGATTACTTTGGAAATAAATACCACGTGTAGAAGTATTTGAATCCATCAGAATAAATTTGGAGGCGTCCCATATTATTTAGTGGTTCGTATCAACTTGGCCAATTTGGAGGACTAATTTGATTCAGATTTCATTTTTGTTTATAGCTTGTTCTGTTTTGTAATTTTTTTTTTAAATGTGGAAAGAAAGAAAGAGGTTTGATCAAATCACTTTCCTGCTATAAGATCACACCTTTGTACACTCCCATTCTCCAGTTATATGGGGAAGAGAGATTCCCCATTTTGCCCCTACTTTAACTTCCTATCTCTGTGTCTAAAGGTTCAAACAACGGATTAACCCATATTTATTTTGGTTATCTGGGTCCAAACTACATGGTAACTCAGGCTGCAGTGAATAAACATATAACCGTTTTGTAGTAGTAGGTTACCAGATACTCTCCAGATGCATTGTTAGAACCGCACCCATGTCGTTGGTCATGTCATGTTTGCGTTTATAGGAGTTGTAGTTCCAAAATCTGGAGGGCAGCAGATTCTCCCTGTTTTAGCCCATGATGGTACTCAAGATGAAACCTGGAATTTTCTGCATACTGTATTAGATCAGGATCTGCAGTATTTAAGTAGTGATATGTTTGGCTTGACAACTGGTTGCGCTGATTGATTACACAAGCTGCAATATATTATTAATTACCTAATTCTCTTGGAAATGCTTTTCAAAAAGAGAACAATGCCACAGTGGCCCTTTTGGCAAGCTTTCAGAACAGCAGCATACGAATAATCCATCAAAATATTTTTCATTTCGTTATATGAGTCTTTGAAAAACAGTGGATGAAAGAACAAGGAAATTCCCTAGGATATTGAATCACCCTCACCTTGGAAATAGCTTAGCTCACTTAGAGATGCGTAGGGCGGGGGAACAGGGGAGCCCTCCCTCTCCATAATGAACCAGCTCACAAGGGCCCTTTTAGTACAAAGAAATCAAGGCATTATGCAACTTCAGCCTCTAGCCAGCACAATGGCTAATACTGCTCCAAATGTATAATCAGAATAAAAGTTGAAGATTGACTTTTGAAGATGCCGTCCAGTTAAACCTGGTTGGTTCCCTGTTTCGTAGCATATCACTTAGTTGCTAGGGAACCAACCAGCTTTAACTGGGACAGCATCTTCAAAAGTCAATCTTCAATTTTTGTTTTATTCTGTTTATTGCATGCCTGCACTTTATCACCACTGAGTACGTGGGGCAAACTCCATCAATCCTGCGGCTCTAAGAAGAAGGTATTGAAGAATGTGTTGTGGGTGTGGTTGTTTGGCCAAATAATTCATGAGCAACACTAACTAACCTTAGAACGGATATTTAGTAATTCTCCTTGTGAAGTTCATACGTTACTAAGCCATAGTTACTTTGATCATGCATCACTGAATAAACCACAGTTGGCTAGGCTCACAATTTGGTGCTAAGCCATAAACCGTGTTTTCAGCCAGATAGCTGACTTTACACAATGCAAAGCTAAATCCTCCACAAAACCCTCCAAAATGCTTTCCCGTGATGTGTCAATCCAAGCAATGTTTTTGATGACAGGACAATCTAAAGTAAAAAAGCACAAGTACTGATGAATCGGATCCATATTTTCTTCTTAATGTGATAACTTCTCTTCTTCTCTTCAAAGACTTAAAAGCAGCCATTGAAGACATACTGCCAACCCTGAAACAAGAAAATGTGCTCGTTTATTTCTTAAATAGGACATCTGACACCGAGGGGGTTGACAGTTTCCTTGACAAGATGGATGCAGCTTCAGATGAGGCTGTTCCAGAGTCTTGGAGATCAAATGTCACTTTCAGAAGTCCCGCCTTGTACATTTATACCTCTGGAACTACAGGTAGAGTTTTTTAAAAAATCACTAAATTGGCTCCTGTTTTGTTAAGAATTGGACATGGTGATCAGGGAATGATGGAAGATGAAGTCCAACATATTTGGGAGAACATCATCTTGGGGAAAGCTAACTTAGAAGCAGGATATGCAACATTATTTACTCAGAAGTTCAACTGGACGTTGAATTCAATAAATTAAATACTCCCAGGTAAACTCATGCTGGATTACAGTTTAAAACTGATTTGAAAGTAATTTCAAAGGAAATTAAATCGACATGTCACAAAAAACCTGAGCAAAGGGTTTCATGTGTTGATACTTTGAAGAACACAGCTGGCTTGAAGTGCTGTATCAGGAATCTGATGCAAGTTTGAAAACAAAATAAGGCAACGGTTTAATAAGAAATGGGAGAGCATATTATTTTCAAGAGAAAATATTCACAATATTTAGATTTAATGATGATAAAAACTCTATCTCAGATGCTGCACTTGGATCTTCTGGTTGAAATGATTCAATGATATGATTGAAGAGAATCCAAGGAAGGAAGGAGGGAGGGAAGGCAGGCAGGCAGGCTGGCTATTTGGTAGAAGGATTCCAACTTGTATATTTCTCTGTTGTGGTTCTGGCCCTCTTGAATATGATCCCTGTCCCAAGAAATTCAACTAGTTCCCATTTTAATCATCTTTCAGAAAGTGGTGAAAACATGGCTTTTCTTTAGAAGACTAACATCTATACTTTACTTCCTATCCAATCATCAGTGGACTATTTTAAATTTTACTGTTGTTTTAGGAGAGCAATTATGTTTATGATTTTTATTCTTTATGAACTACTGTAAAGGTGTAATAGGGAAAGTATAGAAATACTGGGGATTCTATGGATGGATGGATGGATGGATGGATGGATGGATGGATGGATGGATGGGTAGGATTTCTCCCTTACATGCTAGCTTTTTAAATTAGAATAATTTCCTTTGACATAAGTGCTTTTTCTTGTACAAAGGTTTTAAAAAAAATGTAAAGAGGATATCATATAACAGATGAATCAAACTATCTCAAAATTAAATGATAAATATTGCAGTGCATAGATGCTACTGTCTTATATCTCTGAAGGAAAGCAGTCTGTTCACGTGCCTAGAAAGTCAGCCAATCTTTTTTTCACATAGGCCTCCCCAAAGCTGCCGTGATTACTCATCAACGTACATTATTAGCTTGTGGTTTGATTATAGCCAGCGGTGTCACTTCGGAGGACATTATTTATACCACTCTGCCATTATATCACAGCTCTGCCCTCTTGCTTGGAGTACATGGTTGCATCATGCAAGGTAAGACACCAAAATAAAATTTAAAAGCATGTCTTAGACCAGCAAAATCTATCCTGCCTACTACATAATCTTAAATACTTAGTGGAAAAACATACTAATTGTTCAAAAGGGACCCTGTACACCACCTTTGTCAATTTAATTCCAGGACCAAGCATTGGATGAATCTAATATTCTCTTCTGTGAAGACTCTATATGAATTACATACTTCATTACAAGTCAGATGTTCTCCAACTTGCCTCTTGGCACCAATTTCTACTCAAAAAGGAATGAAGCAAAGTTGTCTACCTGCTCCTCGATTTCCCTCCCTATTAATTTTTCCATAAACTCTACAACCCAATACTAAATTTCATTCATTCAAAGTGGCTAAGAAATCTTAGTTCTCCTTTATGCAAATGATGCATTTATCTTCTGACCACCCCAAGGCAACTCCTCAAGGCCTTTACATTATATTGTGGAGAGGAGAGCATTGTCATCAATGAGAATAAATGACCAAGACAAAGATAGAGGTGTTCACCAACAAAGCTTTGTCAACCATGTTCACTGTTGGAAATTAACATGAGTATCAAAAAAATAATAATCATTATTATTATTAAATAATAATCTTTCAGTCCTCCACCATTTGAAATGTTCACCAAATGAAAGCCATTACTGAAGGGCAGTTGCAGCAATCCTGTATTTTGCAGGTCGTAGATATGTCCATGTGGCCATAGCTGTTACTCTCTAGAACTAATTGCAGGTTGTCCCCAGTTTAAGAACGAGTTCTGTTCCCAAGGTCTCTCCTTAAGTTGAATTTGTATGTAAGCTGGAAGTAGTACAGTATTGTGTAATTAACTTGAACCATTGTGTATTTAACTTGTATTTTGCTGCAGTTGGCTCCATTCTTAACTATGGCTCATCCTTAAACCAGGTGTTCTTAATCCAGGGACTACCTGTACTATCTTTCATCTGTAGACCACCTATTTTTTCAGATCGCAGACCCATTGAAGAATTCTGTCAAAAATTTTGAGATCCATTCTCCAAGTGCCCCAGAACATACCCAAAGTTTAGAGCTGGTCCTTATTTGTCTAGGGGCTCACATAAGGCTTTGCCATCTTAGATTCTGCTGATTTTCACAAAAGGCTGTTTTCATTTACTCTTCTGGATGGTTTTTAGTCAGCATGGAAAAAAGGCAGTGGACATCAGTCTTAGACAACATGGCTTCTCAGTTCAGTGACTTCACAAGGCCCTCAGGGAGCATAGTACTCTTCCCCTCATGTACATTATGTGGATAGTCTGAATGGAAAACCCTTTATACCTGCAAACTAACATTCTAAGCATGTCACCCTGAAGAGCTTTCTTTTGAGCAAAGTTTAGCTCCCTATTTTCCATACTATCAGAAGGATTACAATCATATCTTAATCTAAGATCGACTATATTGTCTATTACCTGTTTTATTGTGCTACCCTTTTTATACAGCTTGGCATGTAGATCTACCAACCGTCCTGTAGTCAAACTGGTTGGGCTGGTTTGATGAGGAGGAAAACTGCTTTCTTTTAGCTGATGTGTTTTCTGAAAGAAGGTAGCCACATTTTGCACAATTGGTATTGCCAGTAAGTGGGTCATGGTTTGGATTTTAAAATTATTATAACATATGCTAATTTTTTCATGCCATGGATGAGACTAACCAGTCATTTCCATTTTATCTATTTTTTAATTTTTAATTTTTTGTTCTGCCTTACCTTTATTCTATTTCACCCAAGCTTTCTTTGTTTTTTCTCCTAATTGTTTTCTCTCTTTAGAATGTATAATTTGTTGGTCATATTTAAGGCCTCAGACCTTATGCATACAGAGTAATTTAAATCAAAATCCCCAAGATTGCACATCACTTTTGTAAGAGCTTGTGCAAGAATACCAACATCTCATTGAAGGGACACCAAAATCTTGTACATCTTGGCAAGCCTGCAAAATTTGAATCAAGTTCACAGCGTGTACGTGTTTAGGAGTGTGCCTTAGCACCATAAGCACTATGTTGTGGACTCTTGTTCTAAAACGGGGCAGAGTTGCTCCTCGGATAGATATGGAGCTGAATACAAACTCTAGAAGTTGTTCATAGTCTCCTATCATACTTGGAGGCATCCACCCAAACAGAACAATGAAGAGAGTAATGGATAGACCACCTTTCTTCAGCAGTAGGCTTGAGAACATGTTCACGCATGGATAGATGTCTAACCTATTTCCCATTTTCCCTTTCTGTGCAGGTGCTACCCTAGTTTTACGCTCAAAATTCTCTGCTTCTCAGTTTTGGGATGACTGTAGAAAATACAAGGTGACCGTCGTACAATATATTGGAGAGGTGCTTCGTTATTTATGTCATGTGCCCAAGGTAGTCCTTCTTTGACCTCTTTCCTCTTATCCCTGTTGGACACATCATCCCCATCCCCAAACTGATTACTTCAATGTGCAGAACATAGGAAGGTCCCTGGTGTCCTCCTTTCCATCTCTCTTTTGCTATTATTATATACATGAAAGGGTTAAGGGTGGAATAGCCAAAAGGCACTCCTTTTGGGCAGTCCATGCTAATTGCCCACAGTATTGTTTTTAGTGGCTCTAGAAAGTTCTGTGCCTTTTGAGATGGATGGATGGATGGACGGACGGACGGACAGACAGAGACAGAGTCTTCTACCCTTTTTAACTCTTGCCTATTGTTCATGTCAATAGAAGCGAATATGTGTAGCTCAGGGTTGAACCATGGAGTTCTTGGGGTTCTCTGAGCTTGGCTGTTTTCTTGCAAACGTTTCATTACCCGGCTAGGTAACATCTAGCCCTTCTAGCACTGAAGATGTTACCTAGCCGGGTAACGAAATATTGTTCGTGTCTCTTTCCCTGCTTTTTGCCAATTCACTGTTTTTGATGTTTGCTGATGTTTCATAAATCAACATCAAGCCACATTTTTTTGCTAGCTGGAATGAAAGGGGTGTGGGCGTGCTCTATCCGGATATAGGGACTGAATGGGAGCAGGCTGGGCTGGGTGCAAGCTAAACTGGAAATTATCCACAGTCATTTTCCAAAACTATTGTTAAACTGCCTTTTTAAGGCCTGACTTTTGATAGTAGGCTATGAGCAACATGATTGATTTTTTATGCTGGCTAGGGAATTCTGGGTGTTGAAGTCCACACATCTTAAAGTTCCCAAGGTTGAGAAACTCTGGCCTAGGCAATCCAATGGAGTTATGTTTAAGCAGATTATGTGCACGGAGGAAAATTCTAGCATAAAAAAAAACCCCTCAATAAAGGATAAATAGACTGCATTTTAGGCCAACTGGACCTCAATACTGAAGATTTAATGAGGCTTTGAACAGTAGCTGAGGATATTGTTAAAAGCATGTTAGTTATATAAACCAAGGAAGTGCCCTCAAGACTGAATAACATGTATTTGTGATAATGTTGGGATAATATGTCCCAAGGAGACATTTAATGGTGGAAGCTGCTTAGCCTGCAGGTGTTATAAATCCATACCACTAAAGATTTTGTTATCTGGTAATTAAACTGGGAGGCATGTTGCTTAATTTCTATTATAGTAACAGGAAAAGCAGGATTTTTTCATGTACAGTAAATATGAAAATTGGCACCTTCAGAAGTATTCATGCATCCACACTCATTGTATGCAACATATCGGTTGTTTGCTACCACATCTGAATAAATAGGTATGGCTTTCTTTGGGCAGAGTTACACTGAAATGAACAATATATGTTTTCCAACCCTGTGTTTCTCTAATCCTGAGATATATCAGGGCATAATCAAAACTTTAATAGCTCCATACTAGTTGATCTACCGGCAGCTTCATTAAATTGCCATCAGGCTCAAAAGTGTTCAGATGTTTGAGTTTATTTGCAGAAACAAATCGAAGCCATTTTGTTCCCCACTTTCTTTCTCCCTGGCATATTTTTATGGCGTGTTTCTTTTGTGGTTATTTACAGGCCAGTTTTCACTGCAGCTGCTTTTATTCTGTTTTATTTCCTTAACTCACAAAAGGATTAAAGAGAAACAAAAGGACAAACAGAAGGATTGGAGGTTAATAATACTCTGCTTCCCCCAGAGGAACTTTACTAGGTGGAAAAATAAATCTCAGAGGTCCACAATCAAAGAACAAAAGGGGCCAAAAGAAAGCTAAGGGGGAAAAAATGGCAAATGAACAGAATGTTTGATCTCTTAAATATACCAGGTTGTTTGGAATTAATCACTTTACCCGTTTGGGTAACACAGGAAGATACGATTAACTAAAATAATGCAAAGCTTTTAAACTCTCAATAGTGTGTGAAGTGTCACGGAACACGTGAACACAACGCTCCCCAGTAGTTCATGTTCAACACATTAATGCACATTTAGTGACGTGTGCTTAACCCCCCACTTCGTGGCTGCACAGATTTTGCTAAAGCTTTTTCCTGATGGCATAGAAAGAAGATTTACTTCTAATTTAACCTTTTTACACGCATACATCAAGATTATCAGAAGATGTCTTATTGTCAAGTCCACAAAGTCCAAACCCCAATTCAGAAGAATTCTCGTGAAACCAGGCCTGGTTCAGATAAATTCTCCTTTACTGGTTGGTACATGCAGCTTGAAGGAAAGCATTACTAAAACTAAAGCCCGCGTAAATTTCCCTCTACTTTTCTCTTCTTGCCCCCCTTCTATTTTGGCGCCTGATTTCTTTCTCACCGGATTGTGGCCTTGTAAATTCCTCTCCCTGATAACACAGTTCTTCCTGGCCTTCAGGCTACCACCGGTTTTGTCTGCTTTCCTGTATTGTTACAAATTCCCATATCAAAGTAAGCAACTCTCAGTTATCAAAGCAATACCCCAAACATGCCTATTAGCTACTGTCTCCCCCCTTGTTACAAATGGCAGAATCAAAGCAAGCAAATTCCTATTGACTACTACAGCTATTAAGTCAGTCCTCTTGTGATTAACATTTGATTGATGCAGGTTCTGACACTTATATTGAATCTGATGCCTCACCTACCTAGCTCAATATTACTTCCATGGATTGGCAGCAATTCTCAAGAGATTCTACTGGAGATATCAGGGGCTAAACCTGTAATCTTTTGCATACATATCCAGGGCTCCGCTACTCAGCCTCCAATGCACAAATCATATTCTATATAGTCTATACCAGTGTTTCTCAACCTTCCTGAGTTTATTTGCTGGCTGTGAAATTCTGGGAGTTGAAGTCAACCCATCTTAAATTCGGCAAGTCTGAGAAACACTGGTCTATACCATTGGCTGTATAGGATTAGCAAGTTATTCTTCTTGGGTTAGTTCACTGTTTCCCTACTTTGGCAACTTCTAGATAAGAATCAGCTCCCAGAATTTCTAGCTATTCCTGCCTTGGCCACTGCTGAGAATTGTGGGAGTTGAACTCAAGACATCTGGAAGTCACACAGCTTGAGAAATATTGGACCGGCTTGATATAGGACAACATTTTCTGTTTCTAAAGAAAGGTCCACTCCCATGGAATGCTTTTGCAACTATGAAATAGAAAGCTCTCTGATTTGTTTGTCCTCTACTGACTAGTCTTTTATGCTCTTCTGGAATTGTGATTTGTTTTTCTAGAAAGATGATGATCAGAACCATACAGTAAGACTTGCTGTGGGTAATGGCTTACGGGCTGATGTTTGGAGAGAATTTATCAGAAGGTTTGGAGACATACGTATTTTTGAGTTTTATGCAGCCACTGAAGCCAATGTTGGATTTGCTAATTATACTGGAAAAATTGGAGCTGTGGGAAGATTGAACTACTTCCATAAGGTATGAAAAAGAAAAGACATATGTTCCTTTATTTTGTATTGGCCAATCAGCTTTTTTCTAGCATCCATCAGTGCTCAACCATAAACCTCCTTTGAAAGATAATTTGTGGTGCTTTCCTAAAAACAAAGGGAATTCGCATGCTTTACATTTCAGTCTCTATTATCCAGATTTCCAGAGGCTACATCCACAATTAAATCAAAAATTTAAGGAGGGGATGGGCTCCTCTTCATAGAATATTTCAAACAAAGGGTAGACATTTGGGGGCATTTGGATTTGGAACATAGAATTGGACTGAAGGACCTAAATGTCTCCCTCAGTTCTATGAGTTAGCAATCTTATGTGTCAAGAAAGTGTAGAAGGATGTAGACAAGTGAAATTCAATCTCCTTGCTAAATTGGAGAAGGAAAAAAAAGATCTATATTGCTTAAGGATCCCAGCCCCTGCTGAACACTGAGGCTACAGCTAATTTCTCATTCCCAATTTCTCATCTGTCCAAAGTTTCAAGCAGTCAGTTAATAAATATAATAAATACCCAAGTTTTTTATGCCCTGCTACACTTCAAAAGCAGCTTAAGTTGACCCCGTATCATATTTCTCCATGTTTATGGGAAGTCAAAACCTAATTTCTTGCCTGTTATGAATTAACAAACCAAAGCAAAGTAATCATAGCCTGTTGGACACTTTCTAGTGGATTTTAGAAGCTTATGGCTGACCCCTCTGGATTGGTTAGAGGATTGGGCAATAACAAACCAAGGATAATCCTGGAAACCACAATCAAACCATGAATCCCTAGTTTAAATTGGTCTTAAACTAGTGTATACGTGTCCTTAAAACAAACTTTGGGTTATTCATTGATTCCATTTGTACATCAGACTAAACCAAACAATATTGTATCTCAAACAACATGTCAACTCAGTAAGTTCTTCAATTCCTCATGCCAGTAGCAAGCAGGATTTCTCAACATCAGCCTGCAGCTGTGCATATTCTGTCTATATAAAATGAAAATGGAATCACATTTATTGATGTTGTATTTTTTGGCCCTATCTCTTAAATGGCAGCAATTTTTTAAGTGTTCTAAGATCGCAGCATGTAATCCTATCTGGGGGGACTGTAAGTGTGCTCTTTCAAAAACAAACCCAAAAAGCATCTGAATCTCTGTTTTCAACACATAATATGCCAATGGTCTTATGCTTTCCTTAGAAAATAATACACTACGAACTCATTAAATATGATGTGGAGAAAGATGAGCCTATCAGAGATGAAAATGGCTACTGCATAAAAGTTCCTAAAGGTACCTCTGATTTGACATCTTTATTTGCCACTGAAATTCAGCACGGATAACATGCTTTGAACTGTCTATATGCTTTTAAGAAGAAACAATGCTCTAGAGTCCATTTGAAAGACCAGGTAAAAGAGAGACTACTGCTTAAATAGCTAGACTTTAAAACTCAATCACATCTTTAGGAATATGTAGCGGAATGAGTCCTTTAGTTCAGAGCTCAACAACCTATTCTAGGTACCACCATTACAAGCTTATATAATGGCCAAGAAACGCTCCCATCATCTCCTGTATCAGAGCTTGGGGCAAAATTATCCATGCCAAAACCAGTCAAGAATACTTACAGCAGATAAGAGTTTACTCAGGTCTAAGATGAGTAGCAGAGCATCACCAGTGCCACCATAGATCAAGGCTCCTACAGTCTTGTACAAGTCTTGGCATCAAAAAGCAAATTCAAGATGTAGCTCAACATCTAGCTGTGCTTTAGCAGGTGCTTAAATATTGGGAGATCCTGATCTCTCCCTAATTTACCTAACCCTAACCCTAACCCTAATTTACATTGGTGCAGATCTGAGCTAAAAGCAAATACTGAACTACTTGGGAGGAATAGCCTATTCCCAAATAGACTTTTTGCCAAGTAGATGTGTGTTTATATGTATATCCACTAAGTGTACAAGATCTTTAAATCTCTCCTAGGATTTCAGTGAACCTGCTCAAAATCTTGCACCAGAATTTCAATTGAAAATATTAATTTAGTTTTGGGGCTCTGCAAATGCCATGTGGGGTATGTTAATTTGGCGGGGAAGGGGAGAAAAAGTTCAGTTTGATATTAAAATGGACTTAGATGTGAGGTTTTCATTATTGCTGCTGTATTTTTGTTAGTTATAGAACTTTTGCAGGGAGCCCTACAATGGATCCAGGCATTCAAGCCTACTACTCTGCAGCCTTCCTTTTTCATTTTGTTTGAGTTTTGTGTTCCTCCTAGGTGAAGTGGGGCTGTTGGTTTGCAAAATCACCCGGTTGGCTCCATTTAGTGGTTATGCAGGATCAAAGAGTCTGACGGAAAAGAAGAAGCTAAGAGATGTTTTCCAGAAAGATGATGTATACTTCAACAGTGGAGATCTTTTAATGATTGGTCGTGACAACTTTGTTTATTTCCATGATCGAGTTGGAGATACATTCCGGTTTGTTACTCTCTCTCTCTCTTTGTGTGTGTCAGCAGAAAATACTTTACTTGCTTGAAATGTGACAGCTATGTTTCAGCATTGAAGTCACAGTTTAATGTTCAAGGAGTCAAGAGATTAACTTCCCTGTCAGTCAGTTCCAGCATGCTAAAACACTACTATGGTTTTGCAGTCAAATGGTTTGAGGTATTACATTGGAGGCAACTTTTGGTAAACCTTGGTCTTGCACATGGCAGCCCCATGTGATGGCACCCCAGAACTGTAACTGGACTATCCTTCTTAAGCAAAGCATCTTCTGACACTGCTCTCCAAGGTGGGATGAGTCCTCCGTGACCTGAAGCTGTATCTTTTCTTGCTTGAGTTGCATCCTCTGGATTGTTCATTGACTCCATCCCATGACTGATTCATCAGCCCTGGATTAATAACCTTCTTCCACCCTGATCCCTCTGATATAATTCTTAAATTTGAGTTTCCCCCTCTAGCAGATGACTGGGGCTCATTTATGAGAACAGGACAATCTGAATGGTTTTGCCTAAACCCTAAATCACAAGGTGATTGGATTGGTCTTGCTTTATCGTATTGTGTGAAACTCACCCATTGAACTTTGTAAGGCATGATGTGCTGTATGTGCCATCTGTTGTAGTGATGGTGGCAACTAGGGATGGAAATCAAAAAAGTCAACATGGCAGATTATGATGGTTAAAATAAAGGGGTGGCTCTTTGGTTGTTCAATACCAACTTGACTTTTTGACCCCCATTCCCCATGGGCACCCCCAGTAGCCAGTAAGAGCTTCTTCTCAGTCTTCCAGAAAGGCAACCTTTATGGTCCCTCATCCATTCCACCCAAGTATTATATTTAATGGCAACAACAGCAATAGCAACAAAAAATATCAAGTTTGGATAGCAGAAATGTTTACAAGCTGGGTTATATTTGTAAGACAGGTAAACAAGAATAGCGTTGCTTTATTCTGTGCTTTTTGAAATGAATTATATATCCTCAGATGGAAAGGAGAAAATGTGGCCACAACAGAAGTTGCTGATATTTTAGGACTAATCAACTTTATTCAGGAGGTGAACGTGTATGGTGTACCTGTACCAGGTATGGGATAAAGTCAGAATCTTGCAATGGAAGGAAGGAAGGAAGGAAGGAAGGAAGGAAGGAAGGAAGGAAGGAA